GATGCCAAATATTTTTATAGCTGCTCGAAAGCTTCTTGGTATGTATCAGTCCATTAGAATCCTGAGCTACGAGCACCTCTGAGTATCTTGAAGGAGTGCAAATATTTATCTCCTAAGTGGGCTAGAAAATGAGATAGCACTGTAATCCTTCCATTTCATCTCTGGACTTCCTTGATATTCTTTAGGGGCACCATATTCCTTAGTGCCTTAATATTCTTAGAATTGGCTTCAATCCCTCGATAGGTTACTATGAACCCTAAAAATTTTTTGGAGGCGACTCTAAATTAAGACTTGGTAGGGTTGAGTCACATGTTGTAGCATCATAGCAGGTGGAAGTACTATTCTAAGTTAGATATATGTTAAGATTTTTTGAGACTTTTCAGTAACATATCATCAACAAATACCTCCATAGTGTGCCCAATAAGGTCTTTAAAACCTTATCCATAAGACGATGATATGTTGCTATTGTATTTTTAAGCCCAAATGACAAGACCAGATAACAGTATAATCCCTTATATATTTGAAAAGTTGTTGCCTCCTCCTCCATAGGATCCATTTTTATTTGATTGTAGCTAGAGTATGCATTTATAAATCTTAGCATATGATGTCTAGTGGTGGTATCGACCAACTGGTCAATACAAGGAAGCGGAAAACTATCATTGGGATAAGCTTTATTAAGATATGTATAATCCACACACATTCTCCAAGCTCTACTAACCTTCCGCACCATGATGATGTTTGCAAGCTAAGTGGGATAGTACACTTCCCATATAAATCCAACCTCTAAAAGCTTATCAACTTCATGTTCGATTGCTTATTGGAAATTTGGTGTAAAGTTTCATTTCTTCCGGATCACTGGTTTGCACTTCGGGCTGACTTTGAGTGAGTGCACGATCACTTCAGTGTCGATTCCTGACATATTTGCTGGACTCCATGAAAAAACATCTTGATTTCTATATAGAAAATCTACATATTTTTTTATTCTCTTCATTTGAGAGAAGAGATCTAATCTTCAAGTATAACTAGGAGGTTGATTGTCCCTTCCACTCGTACGGGTCGATTATCAAACACATATAGTGGGCCTACGGAGGGTTGAAGCTTCTTTGTGTTGAGACCCATATTGAGAAAAATATAGTAGAATAAGACTTCCACGGAGCTCCAATTATCTACCAAAATTATTTTGGCATTGTAACACGGGTCACCTATCCTTGCATTAATCACTAGCAGATATTGATGAGAAGTTTTTACTCCCTCCAAATTAGAATCATCAAAGGTAATATAATAATTAATTCAATACTTCTTTGGTGTTGGGTTTTCATCTACATCCAATAAGTCTTGATTAGGCAATAAGGGGTCTCTTACAATGGTTTCAACCTCCCCAAATGTTTGATGATTATTCAACAGTTGTATTTATTGTTGATGATTTTTTCCCCCAGTGGGACGAGTCTCATCTCGAGCAGGTGGATCTTGAATAAATCGTCAAAGGTAGCCTTATCTGATGAGTCTCTCAATTTCCTCCTTGAGCTACTTACAAGTTTCAGTGGTGCGTCCATGACTATTATGGAAATGACAATATTGATTCTGATTTCCTGTATTTGGTTTTAAAGGATTGGGGCACTTAATATTTTCTAGATCTCGGATGATCATCAACACATTTACTCGAAACCCATTGAGTTGTGTATACTCCTCTTGTTGTCGAGGCTCCTGTCATGGTAAAGGGGGTCTAGGAGGCAAATTATTCATCCTTTATTTCTTTCATTGTGAGAACGAATTATCCACTCTTGGTGCACTTTTATGCTTTTCATTTATTTGCTCAAACTACTTTCTGTGAGCATTAATGGCTCCATATGTAGAGATTTTTGACTCCATACGATGGATCAAGTTGACGTATGAATAAACTGTGTCTCGCATGAGTGCTGAGTAAAATGGACTAGGACAGAGGCCTCAAAAAAAAAACTCATCTCAGTAATTCAAGATTTACTCCTGAAATTTGCTGAGCCTTGGTGAAAAATTATTAAAAAAACTCCTTTAGTGATTCTCATTCATTTTGGCGGATCCTAGAGAGGTGAGAAGAATCTTTAGTAATTCTTCGATTGGTGACTAATTATTTAACAAATACTTTGGCTAATTTGACGAACGTGAGAATGGTTCTGGTTGGAAGCGAATAGAATAATGTTCGGGTTGCCCCTTCAGGGTGGCAGGAATAAACTGACAAAGAAGTGCGTCTGAGGCTCACTGGATATGCATGATGGTTCTATAATGATCAATATACTTGCATGGGTTGGAAGTCTCGTTGTAAGAATCGATGCTCGGTAGTTTGAATCCAGCCGGAATTGGGTGTTGAAGGATGGCTTCAATCAAGGGTGACGAATCTTGGAAGTCCCACTAACGAAGAGATTATCTTACACCTCCCATGGGGAACTCTTCTCGAACCAATTTTCATAGTTCATTCCATAGGGCATTGTAAGGGGCTCAATAATGTGCGATCGGGCTTTGTCCTTGGGGACGTCCAGAGGAATGAGAGGTTGCCAACCTGTGCGTGAAGAATGTTTAGAGTTTGCTATGTCATTAAGTTCGTTGTCTTGATGTGATGAAGGATGCCTCCTTGGCGGAGGAAGAGGAATATCTTCATGATGATGTTCGGGTTGAACATCTTTAGCCAGTGGTGGATCTCGAGGGAGAAGAATCTCTTCATGTGGTGCTAGTGCCAGTTGCCGAGTCTCTCGCATGAGTTGAAGCATCTCATTCTGATATTCCTTCATCTTCTAGACGTGATCTTCCAAGGATGATCATGATGCCCCTTCCCCGGCATGGTTTTCACACACCGGGGTGAAAAGAGGCCGATGCTAGGCATTCCAAATTCATGGACTGATTCCTAGATTGGTGTGTGTTGGAGCGGGAGGCACCCAATATGCGATTGCTACGCCTGTTAGCCATCACAGTTGTACTTAGGATAGTGAGATTGGATTTCCCACAGACAGCGTCAAATTGTTACAGGCTAGAATATACGCTACGATAAACTTATAATATTTTGTCTTAGCATTGTATGAATATCCAACACACAAATAGAAAAAAAAATAACACCAGTTTTTTTATGTGGAAAACCCAAGAAAAGGAAAAATCCACGAGGCCACTCCTAGTTGAAATAATTTCACTAGCCTTTAAATAGATTACAAGTTTCAGACTTGCTTTAAAGTTGAGGACGATCAACTTACAATTGTCATTTGTCAAGTTGAAGTCCATCTTTTAGCTGGCGGCCGGGCAGAAGTTTGGCGTCAGTCGGCTGTCGGGAATAAGTCGGCGCCGGGCAAAAATCTGACTTCGCGTGAAAATCTGGCATCAGTCGATGGTCGAGTACAAATCCGATGTCGGGTGGCGGCCGGTTGGATGTCTGACGGTGGTAAAGGAAGAGTATGGTGGCAAGAGAACTCAAGTTTCTCTTCTTCCTTCTCTCTTCTTCTCTTCTTGCTTGGGTCACCTTTCATGAGAAATGAGAGACCTATTTATAATTTTATAAGAGTAACATGACCAGTAAATAGGAGAAAGATCAAAGATGAATTGGGAGTGGTTTGAATGGACTGCCGATGTTGAATCCCTTGATCATAGATTATTTTTTAGGCATTTGAATGTCTTAATGATATCAAAGTTTGGCGATCTTGGGCTCGTTGGATTCATCTCATCGAGCCGCTCGATTCTACTATAAGCACATCATGTTTTAAAAACAATTTGGTAATCCAAATTATGATTTGAAGCTTTCAAATGTGCTTGGGTCTTCGATTTGAACTCATCTTGGCTCGAATTGAGTTGAATTTGATGTCGTTGGGTTCATATTTTTGAGATGTTCAATTCAACTATAAGTTTGCTGAACTTGGAGTTCATATGATCTCGAATTTAATTTTTGAAACTTCTAACTTGATTTTGCCTCAAGATTCATGCCCAATCAAGATATTTTTTTTTATGATATATCAATAATATTATTTGGAGGAGGCAATTGTAATCTAACAAAAATTGAATGTTATCATAAATGCAACATCAAGGCCGGATAGATTATCTGATGAAGTGGAAAAACTTCGCTTCTAGTTCATCGTCCATTAGAAGATAAATAAAGCAAGAAAAATAGCTTAAGTTAAGAGAATATAAGAGATTTTTGTGAGGAGCGGAAAGGGAGAATGAAAAAAACATGTAGGTAGAATACTCTATGTAGCTTTAGATGATAAAGATAAATGAAAAATACACTATGCTCAATTTATTTTCATCTTTCTCTGTATAACGTAATGCTTTGATGTGAAACGTGAGCTCAAAGGATTCTTGAAAATACTTCTTTAAAACTAATCGTAATGTTAAAAAACCCTAAATACCATAAAGGTTTTAGCTTTCGTGTTTTTCTTTTCCCTTCTGTTTCACAAATATGACTACCTATCTAACCAGTTGCATAGTTACTTGAAAAGCTGCATTAATTCAACTTCAAATTAAAAGCTTACATTTCTTGGTTTTTTATTTAATTTCAATGATAAAAAAATGAAACCGTCTTCTCAAGCCCATTAGGTATTTGTTGAGCAAGTGGCGTATACCAATACCAAAACATCAACTATGTTATACTTATTGATGGTTGTCACTATTATGGCCATCTACAAAAACAGCAAAAATTAAAATTAATCAGCTGAAAAAGAAGTTTTTTTGTTGAAAAATAAACATGAAATTCTATCTGATAGTTTCTTTAAATTGTTTACTTTTATCAAAGTATAATGAATTATATTAGTTCATACTCCAAAAATTGCTTTAAAAAATAAAAAAAATGAGTTCACTGAAGAAAATCACTGATAAGGTATGTTAATCTTTGTTTATTCATTAGCTCAACTGAATCCCACCTCCTATGGGAAGCTAGACCACCCTATAAATATTAGAGTTCTTTTCAAAGTTCTAAATAACCGACATTCCTATTTGTGGTTTGCAGCTCATTCAAATTGAACATAATAATTTCAAATTCTGGAATCGAAAAGTGCAATAAAAACAACACATTAATTGCTATCTTTCCAAAGCTTGTAATTATAACTGCATATGCCTATATTTACCACCCCCCTAGGCATCATTTCTCGATAAACTGTCAGAAAATTTATTTACATTTCAAGATTAAAAGCTAAGCACAGGTGGCAAATAAATGCTATTGAAACTACAGGCCGGGATCAGATCAAAGCCAACACTTTTCTTAGTAGATATACATTTGCTGAGGACTTGCTCACATGGTCATTGGCAAATAACAGCTACTTGGACTCGATTCAGTCCATCAGCCTGAACAGAGGAGGCCATATAGTAATTTAACTCATATCGGAAGTTTATATCATTTGCTTTGAAATCTATGCAACATTGCAAGTTTAAAAGTATGCAAACTATGAAACTTTAGTTAAAGATTTGATGTTGACACTTTTATCTCGTCCAATGTTATGCTCTGCAAAATAAGAAAACGTGTGAAGGGTTATTAGGAGGCTGGATGGAAGAAAATAATGATTTTATCACAGTACAAAGTTCAAGCCTATAAAACACTGTATATGCAGATCCTTGCACTAAGATTAAATTTGGATGCAATAGTAAATTTCTATGCTTTTCTAACATATCCGCTTTTTGATATAATCATTTAAATAATAATAATAATAATTTTTTAATAATTCAATTGATTTATTTAAAAATGTATTGAAAAATAGCAAGATCATTTAGTTTAATTATTTTTGGCTCACTTTCACTATGTTTTTAATGATCCGAAGTTCCGAATTAATTTAAATGGCCTATAACATATTTTATGAATTCAAATATAAATTTTAATTAATTTACGGTGTCAAATAATTTTTTTTACATGACCTTAAATAATTCATTAATTTACTTTATGTAAAACGTGTCCAAATGACATAAATGCACGTTACACAGGTAGAGAAAGCAGCTCGCTTCACCTCACTTTCTATTCCAACAATGAATGAAACCAATTATGAATGTGATGGAATGGTATGATAATTTATATGCTAACATCAAGAATATTTCATCTCACTATTTTACATGCAACAGTTATAACTATGTTTGACAGATCAAGTATTATATGATAGCATAACTTATATTTGACTGTATGGGCTCTGAAAATTCCACCTGTCCCGGCCTCTCCACACCATCTCTTTTCTTGTTTGCGACGGCGGAGAGTTTTAATGAGCTTAGATTCCGGATGAATTTTCATAAGGTATATTGGGTTTTATTAGATAAAAACTACCTAGAGATTTCGTCCTCATTTTGTGAGGACTTTATGAACTGAGTTTTGGTTTCCTATACCCCTATAATTAATTACCCCTCCCGATAATGAGAGAGAGCTTTCGATTAATGCTAGTTGTTAAAGAGGTCGCATAGGTCACAAATCCAGTGTAAAATAACAACAATTTTAGGTTTTGAATTTGGGATATGAATTTTAAAGTTTATGACTTTAAATTTGTCACAATAAACTTAAAATTAATGATGGGGAAATGAAGATGATGGGAAAATGAAGATGATAGGGAAATGAAGACGAGCCCGATCAAGATCCCATGGTTTTGTCGTCTCGGGCTATCATGGTCCCTAGTCTACTTAGAGGAGATAGTCGACCCAACCTGAGAAAAGGTACCTTATCGGCAGCCATGGGTTGTGTTTGTCTAAGGGGATAGATCTAAATCCACCTTACCTAACATAGGGATTTATGGCTATCGAATATATCTTATGATTTATTACTCAAGATGTTGACGCCATTAGGGAACATACGGGCTTTGACAGTGATCGTAATATAATGGTGTCATTTTGCAGCAAAACCACCCGATCAGAGGGCACATGCCACGTCTATGCTGGCAAAAGACAATTTGAGAATGAATCTTAGTAATACACCCGACACGACATTAACTCTTTGTGAGCTAAGGTTAATTTCAAATTTATCACCCCTAACAAACAATTGCGGGAGGTGAATGAGTTTTAGTTTAAAATTTTTAAATTGAAAGATTTCATTTTTAATGAATTCGTGATGTTTCTTGCAGTGAAATATTTTAGCGAATCACAGTAGAGTCCTGACTTCAGTACATTTGCACACAATCAAATGGGTCATAGCCTCATTATATTTATAAATTTCTTAAATCAACAAGTGATCATCAAACTCCAAGCCATCATGGCATAACTTTTGACTTTTTAGGTTAACAAGCTCTTTGCTTTTGAAGCAGTATTGTTTCCATCATTGATTATTGATGAAAATGAATTTATAAGTGTTATATAACTCTCCAATAACTGAATGGAAGAAATTCGACCATCTCTCCTCTCATAAGAATTAGCTTATTTGTCTCTATGCCATATTCATAACAGGTACTAAGATAAGGATTATGAATTTCTTATTTCACAATCGCAACAATTTTCAAGGGAAACAATAGGTAAAAGCATGCATGATCGAGTGTCAAGGTGGGATATTGATCCTTCCCAAGGTTCATAATCTTGTTGTACAAGTGGCAAAACAAATCCCAAGGTTCATAATCTTGTGTACAAGTGTTTGGTTAACTCTATAAGAATCTCAAAGAAAGAAATAACATACAAACGCCTTTCATCTATTGCGTTTTCATGGTTATACCAAAATAGATCCAACAAGCGATCTATCATTTTCCAAACAATGTTTATAAGCGGGGCCACTCAATCCAAGATCAACTAGTATACCAAGAAATCTACGTTAATTTGATTTATATTCATCATCCAATACTTCATATACATTTACAAATAATTTAGCCTAAACACACTTCATTAATATCAAGGACTATAAGGTAGATTTGTGAACTTCAATCAACTACAGTCTTTCCAAAATGTTGTTAAATATCTCAAATATGTTGAGATAAATATGTGAAAGTTTTATTCTTTTTATTAGTCATCATTTCTCAACCACTTTTAACATTATAAATATACTAGATCTATAAAGTCGTACACGATCCCCCCTTTTTATTTTAATTGAAATTGCACAAATTATATATATATATATATATATATATATTAAAATAAAATGTTTTGTTTTGAAATTAATTGTAGGGGTTCTTTGTGTCATATGAAATTTCGACAGTCTCCCGACTTCCCCTCCCCGAGAAGGGATGTTAGGGAGAGAACTTGCCCTTTTGATCGACTTAGTTGGATCAAATCATCAAATCAACAGCGAGGACTTCGGGGGAGCGAATCGACCCCGGAATTGATCTTCAAATCTTCTAATTGTGCGCAACCTTTTAATTGAGTGACTTAATTATATTTAAAACTAATTTATCCCCCACAAAAATCTGACAAACTTCCAGTGCCCCTCCCCGCGAGGTGGGGTTAGGGGGGCACTTGCCCTTTCCAGTCCGCTCAACCAGAAAGATAATCAAGGGCTGAGGTCTTCGGGACGTTGTCAGGTCCCGGAATTGGTCTTCGATGATCCTTGTTGCACGCGATCAATTATTTAAGTGAATTAATTCTATTTTTAAAAATATTTTTATTCCCTTTGAAAATTGTAGCAGCCTTCCGTCGCCTCCTCCCCACGAGGGGAGGTTAGGGAGGGCGCTTACCTTTCCAATCCACCCAGCAGGAAAAATAATTGATGGCCGAGGGCTTCGAGGAAGCGAATCAACCCCGAAAATAGTCTTCAAGTCTTCGATTCACTCAGCCTGATCAGATCGACGACCGTGGGCTTCGAGGGACCAAATCAAACCCGACACTCCTTCAATTCTTCAACTATTTTGGTACCTGTTTGAAAATCCCTTCTCCCTTTTATTATTATTATCATCATTATATATATATATATATATATATATCATATATCATATATCATATATCATATATCAAATATACATATTAAAATAGAGAGAGGGAGAGAGGGCAGACGAATGCGGCTAGGGAACGGGTCAGAGGAAGACTCGGCGGCGGCGGGAGTCAAGGCAACTGGTTAAGATGGAGTTGGGCACGACAGTAGGAGGTCGGGTCAAAGGCGACAAGACGACAAAGGTTCGACCTTCTAGGGTAAGGTGATGGGAGATAGAGGCGAAGGTCGGGTCAGCTTCGATTATGGGGTCGTCGAGTGCAAAGGAGGAAGCGGCGTCGAAGGCGGTAATTTGGTCGTTTAAGGCAAAGTGGCGGGAGTAAGGTATGGACGAACTTCCACTTGTTGTCTCAGTTGTCCGGCAGAGAGAAATCAAGAGACGAGAGACCCTTGCTTGCGATTTCTTGCGGTTTTCTGAGTGCGTGAAAGTGAATGAGAGAGGTTTCCTTGTTTTATGTCGTGAGGGGAGCATCGTGCATAGCTATCGTGGGTGGTTGAGGCGAGCCAATCGGGAGCGTGGGTCATGTGTGGATTACAGTTACAGGTCAATAGACTCATGATGATTTCTTGGAATATGATCAATTATTTAATTTATATATGTTCTATAATAAAGCTGCATGGAACAAGTACAAGCTAATACCTACTGTTTTACTTGTGTAAGAGAATTTTATACCAGATTTTTTCTTTTTTATTTTTCGCTTTATGCTCATCACTGTATAAATTTACATGTGCTGCTTTTACATAAGGGTAAAACTATCACTAAAAAGTAGACTTGTAGATTAACTTGATCTCATTAAGGTCTAGATATTGAAATATATTTTGATTTTGCTATTAAAATATTGAAATGAGAGATATGCATAATGAGATAATATTAGAGTTGTATATATATTAAGGTGGTGTTATATAAGCATTTCTTAAAGGATGTTTGTGGCTTTGTGAACGTATTATATGATGCAGGTTCATGATGTAAAATTATTAATGGCAATGGGAATATTTAGAAAGTTTCTTTTATTTTTTTAAGTTTTGACATAGATTTGATCTTGTAATTGATTATGTGATGTTGGAAAATTTTTTCACTATGGCGTATGTTATGCATTAGAGCAAATCATGATAAAAAATCATTTCAGAGCAATGTTTTAGATGATTGGGGAGAAGGATAGATTCTATTATCATAGAGCTTTAGGTTGATCTCTTACATAAGTGATTAAGGGCAAGTGAGAGATTAACCAAAGTTTAACTATTCATATTTGTTGCGTGACAGAATATTTGTGACGGTAGAAAGATAAAGAGCTTAACATCTATGCTTTGAAAAAAAATCCAACATACATACTATAAGATAAATAGAGAGGAGTGCAAGAATCAGATGAGACACTAGAATTTTTACGTGAAAATCCCTAAAAATGGGAAAAATCACGAGGTTGTGCCTAGTTAAAATGATTCCACTAATGTTTGTCGTTTATTAAAAATAATATCCTCCCTCTGAATAAGGCGTTTGCAAAATGTACCAAATATACATCGTATAGAGTACATTACATGTTGAAGTTTGAAAGAATCCTATATCATGAGAGTTAATATTTCGAGAACGTAGGCCTATTCATTTGGTCGATAGGATCATAGTCGACCAACGAAGG